GTTGGGTCAAAGTGTGCATGTCATAATCTTTCACAGTGATGCATTCACAATTTATGTAAACAACTTTATTATCAAAGTATACAAATAAACTTTATACAAAAATGAAGATCACAATTCAAATTTTTATATTACCCAAGTTCTGTCTTTCTTAATTTCAAAAAAGAAATATTTCAAAACTTTCCAATATTCATTCTTCTGTATCACATGTTGCCACTGAGATCCAATTTCACCAATTTGAATTTTCTTACTGGAGCAACAACCCCTGCCATTCCCTCTGTCCTGATCTCTCATCTGACAACTACAATAGGACGTGATTTCATTCCAATGTTACCAAACTCAATCTTTATATGTGGCTTTTGTTTGGTCCATTATGTCAGCTCAGGGACTCACCCTTCATGTATAGTCTTTCCTTTCCCATACCATTTGCTTTTCCTCTTTGTCTATGAACCAGAGGCATTGGTCTTACTTCAGACTTTGATCTACTCACCATGACTTCTGACCATCCCGTCTTTCTGTTTCAACTATTGCCTTCACTTCCCCAGTTATTTCCCTCCTTTTTTGATTGTTCCTTTTGTCTGGTCCATCAGCCACGTCCCATTGTTCTGCCAGATTGGAATCTCAGTGTTGTCTTTCATGCCCTGTCCGATTCTCATTGTGAACCATTGCAGTGTGTTCCTTGTACCATCTTTCCTTTAAAACCTATGTCCTCCCCCACCTGGCATGTTATTGTTCTGATAGTTATTTCCCACTTCCTGTACCATTCTTTGTATGTCAGCCTCTATATGGATCGAGCAATCTTTCCAAGGATATTGGTTGCCCTTTCTCCTATTTCCCACCTGTTCTCCCATTCTGATCCAGATTGACTGTTTTGTCTAGATTGTTCCCTGCTATGTTATATGGCTCACACTGCCTCCTTTTGTGGTTATCGTTCCTGTCTGTATGTTCCATGAATTCCACTGTTTCTCATGATCTATCATCTATTATGCTCAGTGGTTGAGTTTGTCAACTCATACAACTGTCATATTCTGACGTGTCCATTGGAAGGTCACCATCTACGTAATGTTTCTTTGCACCAAATTCATCATCTACCAATGTCTTTAGCTGCTCGAAACTCCCGTCCTTTGGAGAAGATTGTTCAGGCTGGTATGTGGACAACTCCCAATACATTTGTTGCATATTATTTGCACAACCTAGCTGTGTCTTCCTTGGGCTGGTATTGCCACCCTCCTGTGGCATTTCTACACCCTTGTTTACCTTTGACTGGGGTAAGTCAATATATTATGTTTTATCTTACTTTGTTGATATACATCATATTTCAAAATCCCACCTGATGGCGGGTGTTGCCTGGTCAGGTATGTTTATTATTATATTAGCACTAAATCTGTATACTTCTATAATGCTCACTGTTGTGATGGGGTGTTTCTGTAAGACATCCGGCCACTTTTCCTGTGGTTTGTGTGTATATATGTATATCTATAATTGTTTTATACATAAAGGACTGTCACTCACGGATTTCATGAGTAAAGCAGATGGGGATTTTTTCCCATCCCTAATGTCCCGTGATTATTACAATCGGGGGCTTTGTGCTTTTCAAAATAGGGAATCGCAGACACCCATTGCACTGTTTCCATTGTGTCATTCCTCCAGACTCCCCAACACATATTCCACCCTCTTTTAGTGGAGCACGGGAATTATTGCTACTTCTGGTTTCCAGTTGCTGGAGTGGTGAACCATGCAGGTTTCCTCCTGAGTGGGGTTTGTACAGTAAACTAAATAAAACTTCATAGCTCATATGTATACACTTGGTGAGAAAAGGGCTATTTTCATTATGTTTATTGATTACGGATGTTTTTGCCTGGATGGACTGCACTTGGCATGATCCGATGTATCCCAAGGCCCTTTCCCTGGATGTTTATGCCTGGGCAGACCTCACTTGGCCTATTCATATACAATTTATGGTCCTTTAACTCTAGTCACTTACACTTATATCACATTATCAGGTACCTTGCTATGACTGACTATCACTATATCCCATGCTAACAGTTGCTACGTATGTGGACAAATTATGCACTATCTGGTGACAGTGGGCTAATTTCGAACTATCTGACAATTTTTCATCAAACTACATATTCAGGGTGCTTCCCTCTGATTTTTTTTGTTGATGGGGACGATTGTTTTTGTTGCTCACAATATCCTAGACAAGCCGTTTCCACCGGATTTTTTGTCTAGTTGGACAGCAGTTGACATGTTCCGGTGTGCCCCAAGACTCTACCTTTGGCACATATTTATTTGGGCCTGTTGTCGATTCCACACTAGACATTTCATTTTCATCCACAATGTGCTATTTCACGTCATAGTTATGCAGCACTTTTCACAAAACGGTGCTATACTTCTCTTGCTTTGAGACTATGGTGCCTGCCTATTACATTCCACCCTATATTTATTACTGTGTTCGTTACTGGCCGAAGAGCATACCTGTTCCAGAAGTAGTGCTGTACCCCACAGGTGTGCTTTCTTTTCTTATTATGGCACACCTGTTCTTTCAAAGCGGTTTCTCTCCACTTGATTGATATTGCCATGCCTTCATCGGCCCCGCCACCTTGCAATGTGGGATTCTAGCTTTGTGTGAGAAGATGTAGTACTGTTTCTGAAGTTAACATTTTATTACTCTGAATAGGTGTTTACCTCCTCTCCCCCATTTCCCACCCACTGATATGCCAGTGTTTCTTGTTTGTACCTGCCAATTCTCTAAATTGAGGTTTGTGCTACAATAGTAGTGGGAGCTAACTGCACTAGTATAGATGGTGCAAATATGATTGGTGGGAGGTAGTCACATAATCAGTACATGTTCTGAAATGGGACAAAAATGAAGGGTGTGCTTGTGAAATTTTTTTTGGTAATGCTTAGAGGGCAAACCAGGATGGGTGTTAGGAGGTAAGTACCTACTGGAAATACATTTTCAGAGTAAGAAAATATTAACTTTTGATTATTTTCATAACATTAATAAGTTTAATCATTATTTTAATTAATCAGTTATTTTATGTGACAATAACCGACATTATCCTTATAGTTAATAATTTATTTCTTGAGTTAATTGCTTTTCTATACTTGTATCTAAACAACAGCCAACCTTCCTGAATAAGACAGCACATGGTGATGTTAACACTGAAGTTTTGTCAGTTGTTATCAACGACAAGTAACAATGCTGACTATTAACAAAAAAGCCAATACATGCTATGTATTTTTGTAATTTTTCAGTCATACCCTTTGGAGCATGTTATTTTAATAAAAATGTTCTAATGTCATTGCTGTGCATTTGTTTATCAATTTTTTAAAGGGGGAATAAGGAGGAGTGACACTCTTAGAATTAGCTAAGGACAACGTAGTCGTGGGAGTTGTCGGGAAGTCTAAAATTTCACATGAATATAAAGTGCTTAAATCTTTTAAGCTATACATGAAATTTGGCAAGCTTTTAGCAAACAATAAAAATCTATTATACACAAAAAACAAAAACAGATTTTGTAATTAAGCATTTCTGTTAAAGATTTGTCTGAATTTCTGAAACCTTCACTGAATCAATGTGAGTGAAAGGTGGTTTTCACCTTACGGTTTCATATTTCATTTACATAAGCTCTAGAACCTCCTAAATGAATACAAGTTTTTTTTGTGAACTTTAATATTTTATCTCTTATTTGCTTTACCCTAACACTAGCTATAGTGTAATAATCAAAGCACTGAAATGCAAAGTTGCAAACTATGAAGTAAATTGAATAATACCAATTTTAACCCTGCACTGACTATAGTGTTGACCAGAAAGTTACTTAACAGTTTCAACTATTAATCCTTTCACATTTACTTTTACTTAATTTATGGTTTTATTTATTGCTGTAGTTTGTACCCACTGGAACAGTTATTTTGCATCAAAAGCAATAAATCATGATGGTGTCCATTAGCTATTTCATGTAGAGCTAATGTAATCTGAGTGTTATGTTTCATGATACTCAAGCTAGTGTAAATTTAGCCATTTTACTTTTTATTTTACTGGAGTTTTTTAGGTTGAGTATTTATAACGTTTAAATTTTAGTCACTTTTGTTGAAAGTATGTAACAATAATAAAAAAAATGTACATAAAAATAAGGATTATTAGTACTTTATGTATACTCAAATGGTTTGTTTGCACTTGAGTTGACCTTCTTCCTTAAGCATCATTGAGTCTTACAAACTTGAGTGGCTAAAAAATTAATATAGCTTTCAAATATGCATTTATGATTCTAAAAATGTATCAGTCATCAGAATAGAATGTCACAAAATAACTAATTTATCTGCCTTTCTGTTTAAGTTATGAATAGGTTAAAACCTTTTTTACTTTGATAATGAGTAGCACAACAATGATCATAGAATCTGCTCTTTCTGTTATTTATAACTATGTCCATCAGTCATGTAAGGTTGATTAGCAAATCAGTATCAAAAGTTAGAGAGCGAGAGAGAGGGGGAAGGCTTCTCTGGTGGGTTTTACAAATTTTTTGATATCTCAGCAAATCAAGAAGGTAGGATATTGAATAGTTTGTGTTTTTAATTGAATGGAAGCTGCAGCAGCTTATTTTTGATGTAACGGACAGAGCAGAAGAAACTACAACTGAGACAGCCAATATCCCCAAGTCTCATCACAGATGCTTCCTTGGTGGGTTGGGTGGTTTTCCTCGATTCCTAAGAGATTTTGGGTTAGTAATCAGTCGAGGAGGCTACTCTCCGTATCAACATCCTGAAACCTTTGGCAGCTCATCAGGCTATGTATCATTTCCTCCCCTCTCTGCGGGTGGTAATGGTTCATTCTGACAATTTCACTATATCACCAAGCAAGGGGGAAAAAAGTCCAGATCTCTGTGTTTCTCACTCTGGATCTCCTGTATTAGGCCAATGACTACGTTATGATGGTTCTGGCATGTCATGTTCCTGGAATTATGAATCTTGTGGTTGATTGCTTATCCTGTCCTAACTAGGTTGTCCCCACAAAGTGGTCACTTCATCTTCAGGTATTTCAATGGGTATGTTCTCAACTGGTATCTAGTTCCTCACCTCTCAGCTTGAAGGGTGGATGCTTTCAGTTGAGATTGGAGAGGTCTTCACCTATATGCCTACGCTCTGATCAGACTCCTCTCCATAGTCATTTCCCTTATGCAGACCACTCCCTGTTGTGTTCTTCTGGTTGCTCTATGAGGCAGAGGAATGGGAACCCGCACCGTGGTCAAGTCTCTGTTGAGCCAACAAGCAAGGTCATCCCTGATCCCAGGTGGAAGGGTGATGGGATGGTTCAAGGGATTATGGAAGAAGTTCCACTGGTCAAGAAGCATCCAATGAAGGAAATGTACATGTGCCCAACTGAAGGGAATGAGAGCTTCCAAGGAAGCCCACATCCCCAAAGAGAGAGAAGGAGAAGGTAGAGCCTTCATGACTACCCACTCCATACCCCGGAGCCGAGGTGGAAAAGGCTTGGCCCAACTGAGATGGGAATTGAAGAGAACCCCCAAATTAATAAGATAATGCATGAGGGCAGTAAAGCACTTCTCCAAATTGATGAGAAACCCCACCCAAGCAGCTTCTCAACGAAGTAAGTAGGTGTGAGTGACTGACTGTGCATGGGAAGAGGCAAGCAGTAGCCAGTCATCCATGTAATGGTGAGTCCAAAGACCCAGCGAGTGATGATGGCATGCAAAAGAGCATTTGACAAAACACATATGGAGCTGATGAAAGTCCAAATAGCAGGTGCCCAGAACTGAAAGACAAAACCCTGACGAAATGAAGAAAACAATGGGACACTGAGGCAATTCCAGTATGAAGATAGGCATCTGTCACATCTAACTTGCTCATCCAAACTCCCAGGGAAAAAACCCACTGAAATGAGAGGTAGGACTCCATGGTGAAGTGAGGTGTCTCCAGATAAGTATACACCTGGAAAAGATCTATGATGGGTCTGCAATCTCCCATATTTTTGCACACAACAAATAGAGGGGAGTAAAATCCTGGTTGAGTGGGCACCACCCATTTGCTAGCACCTTTGTGTAGGAGGTCTCGGCAAGACGACTGGAGGAGGTACGATCCCAAGGAGGAGGGAAGGAGATCTGGAAAGTGGATAGAGGGGAGCAGAACT